AAAACGAAAAAAAAAGGAAAGAAAAAGGAGGAGGAAAAAAGAACGCTTAGGCAAACGTAGTCCATTCATAAAAAGTTTTTTAATTGCAAAGCTAGGCAGCAGCTTAATTATACGGCATTACGATGCCGCGTATTAATATTTCAAATTTAATATCAGAGGTAACTAAAAAGAAGTTTACAAGATGTTTAAATGTGTTTTACGCGTCATCGAAGTGTGCAAGTTTCCGTGACAAATTGCAGGAATGTCTCCTCCAGTTTGACAGCATTCATGTCACATTTTTTTGTTTTGGACTTTGTTTTTGTTCATTCGTCATTAAGATTTGAAACTAAGAGGTAATCAAAGAAACCGAAAATAATTTGGTTTTTGTATGGATGGGATAAAGTTGGCGGGGATCTGTCTTAATTGGATTTTTGGATTTAAATACGCTGGAGTTTGTTGAAAATCATTATATCAGTTGATGAACATAAAGACTTTTCTAAAAGTATTGATACAATTTTGCCATGACAATTAATACAAAATTACTGTCTTAGGGTCACCATTACTGGTAAGTAATCTTTATTATTATTCGTTGTTCAATATGGTTCAATTTCCTACACTAGGTTTGCTCAATTTTCCTACATTTTTTTGAGATTAAGCAGGCCTTAGAGTAGAACTAAAATATGCCGCAAATCTTTCGCATGTTCTCTCTCCTTGGAGTTCCGCTAATGTTTTTTAATTTTATAATATTTTTTACCTTAACCTCATTATAAAATTCTGATAATGGTATCTCAGGTAGTCTTTTGTAACCTTGTCACTTGTAATATTAAAGAAGTTTCAATTTTTTCGAAGAATTAATGATGTCAAAGCATGATCGTAATGATCGTAAATGTTTAACTTTTGTGTTGTTGAATTAAGTAATTTTTACTGCCTTGTAGTCTGCTACTGGAAGACTTTCTTTTTTTGATAGTTTGGAGTCAGACACTTGATTTGTGTGCTCACGTTGTTTCGTTGAGAGACAGGCCACATTTAACGCCGCAGCTAATTAATTTAATGTAATCTGTTTAATTTTCTGAACTGATTGTATTGGTGGTGCAAAATATTCTAGAAGTGTAATATATGTATCTGAGAATTTATGGTTATTTCTGCATGATATTTTTTTGGTTGCATGTATGTCATAACAGTGGAAGACTCGGCAGATAATTGATCTTTTTTCAAGTTGCTTTGCTTGCTGTTTTAACAGAAATATATCTGCCTTTCTTTAACCTTCTATCCTCTTTAACCTTCTATCCTCCTTACTCTCTAAAACAATTTGCTAGTTTATCTCTTTGAAGTTTTAGTTTACATTCTAATGTTCACTCCTTGCTTAAATTATCTATTGCAGGAAAATATTATTGTGGATAATATTTATGTTTTTTTTTTTTTCACTGTCTTTGACTGGAGGTAATTTTTAATTATACGACCTGTTTCTTCCTTTCACTCGTCGTTTCCCCCAAGTTTAGCACAATTTAGCACAATGATTTTAGACGAGAGGTGCGTTGGTTGCCCCCACCCAAGTTTCCAACCTGGTCTACTCAAAATGCATCTCAGGCTTTTCTGTGTTTCTGTTGTACGCTCAATACGATTTATCAACACATCATGTAAGACAGATTGTTTGCTCAGTTAAAATTAAATCGTTATAGTACAAAGTTGGTTGATGCTGCGGTGTACTACTGCGTTAGAATTTTAGATCTTTAGAATGGTCTCTTCTTGCGTATTGATGTAATATTTGAAGTAGTCCTGCGTAGTTTTTAGCAAAAAGGAATGAAAATTGACTTTAAACGACAAGCTTTTGATTCTTGTGTTATCTTAGTGATATTATTTTTTTCTGGGATTTTATCACATTACTTTTCTTCACAGCTTGGTTAAAAGTAGAAGATTAGGTTTTGAAAGAGGACTGTTTCTCTCTTTCGGTTTTTTGTCACTTTGGGAACAGTTTATCTTTGAGGACATTTTGGCAGGCCTGAAAAATGATCAGAGAAATTGTGGGACTGTGTCATATATATATAGATGTGTTGATAAGAGGAGTTTTGAATTAAGGTTATTTAGTGCTACAGTGAACTACTGATGGACGCGCATGTTGTCCTTATATGAATAGGTGTATACTAATTTTGATATCGATAGATATTGCTGTTGTTTGATAAAAGCTTTTTCCTCGTCATTTTTCAAAGATTATTATTCAAAAATGATTTTTCATTTGTCTGAAGTTTGCATTTACACGTTAACATTTACATCAAAAAGGGAACGATTTGCGCAATGGTAGTAGTGGTATCGTTTGTTGTTGCTGTCACTGATCTGTTGTAAATTTATTGTTCTCCTGCTCGAAATCTCATTTAGTATTCCGGTTGAATTGCAGTTTCTGCCTCCTGCATATGTTTGTGCTTTAGCAGAAATTGTGATTGTGGAAATGTAGTATTAATAAAAGGATTTATTTTGAGGCTTTATCTCTGTGTAGGAATTAAAATATTGCGTTTTGAACGAAACAGATAACTTGTAAAATCTAAGGCTTTAGGGGAAAATTGTTTTTAGCCAACTGCTTATGTCGGCTGGATTTGCTTAATTCTTCTTTTGCTAAATAGTGGCTTTGAGGAATAGGTCTTGGAACGGTACAGTTTTTGTTTGGTGTGGTGTAGTGAAGTTAGGTTATCTTATTACTAATTTGTTAAATACTATAAAATGTTTTGAGCTCTAAGCAATGGGCAAATTGACTTCCGAACCTGTTGGAAAGCATGTTAACACTTAAGGTTTTAGCTTTTTCGCTTTCGGGTTGCTAAATTGTCCTTGCTCAAGTTTTCTGTCTATCGCTTTAATGTTAACCTTAAGCGAGATCAATGGAAGGTTTTTTGGTATTTCAATTCTGCAGCTTAATTCAGTGAAGGGTTTTTCCGTTGAAATGCTTAATGCAAGGTTTTTTTTCCAAATAAACGTTGCCAGGCA